GGTCAGAAAAGGTGTTTCCTCTGTAGTTCACACCAATTGCCGGCTTGGCCCCCCACCTGTACCCCATGTCTGATGCCTCTGGCCCAGGTTTCAGGCCTGGGCAGGAGACCCCCATCTCCCCCCAATCACCGGCTCTGCCCTTGCCCAGGCCTGATGCCTCGGCCAGAGATGTCGACCCCCATCACCCTCCAATTGCCAGATCGGACCCTTACCCAGGCCTGACGCCTCCACCAAAGGCGTCAGGCCTGGGCAGGAGACCCCCATCTCACCCCGATCACTGGCTTCGGGGCAGCTTCTGGGGCCAGCCTGTGGCATGGGATGGCGGCTCGCGCTGGCAGCTGCGTTGTCCTGCACTGCCTGCAGTATGCAAATTAGCCGCCATCTTTGTTGGTGGTTAATTTGCATATCACACTGATTAGCCAATGGGAAGCGTAGCGAAGGCACGGTCAATTACCATGTTTGTCTATTATTAGACAGAATAGGAATTCTTTAGAGAATTTAATTTAATTTATACCAATACAAGCTCCTTCATTTGTTGTGCATGGTACAAATATCTTCTCAAGTTCTGTGTCATGCCTGCTTTTCATTCTAATAGTGTCTTTTGAGTAAAAGAAATATATTTTTAAAAAAATCTATTTTATTGATTTTTTACAGAGAGGAAGGGAGAGGGATAGAGAGTTAAAAACATCAATGAGAGAGAAACATCGATCAGCTGCCTCCTGCATATCCCCCACTGGGGATGTGCCCGCAACCGAGGTACATGCCCTTGACCGGAATCGAACCTGGGACCCTTGAGTCTGCAGGCCAACACTCTATCCACTGAGCCAAACCGGTCAGGGCTAAAAGAAATATTTTAATTTTATTTTATTATTATAAGATTTATTATCTCTTAACATGAGATCTGCCTGCTTAACAATTTTTAAAGTATACAATACAGTATTTTAGATACAATGTTGTACAACAGACCTGTAGAGTTTATCTTGCTTAACTAAAATGTTACACTTGTTAACTAATAACTGTGAGAACAGTTGGGAGCCGAAAACCAGGATTACAGGCCTTATTAGGGGAAAGAGACCTGCCAGGCTATCTCCCAATTGGAGGACAGCAGCACGTGCAGGGGTGGGCACGCCTTTTGAGGGGCGGAATGGGAAGGAATGGGGGCTTAGTGTACTCGGCAGACACTGATTGGTGGCTTACTGCATTGTCCATATAGGACAAGGGCTTAGGGTATTTGGCAGGTGTGGATTGGTGGTCCAATGTATAGGGCCTATAAGGTACATGGTTAGTCGCTCAGGTATTTCTGGGCTGCAGGTTACGTCATACTCCGCCCACCAGTTGGGGCGAAGGGAGGATCTATCAATAACTCCCCATTTATTCCTCTCCCTGCCATCTGGCAAACACCATTCTTCAGTTCCATAAATTTTACAATTTTAGGTTCTTCATCTAAAAGGAATCATGCAATAGTTGTCTTTCTGTGACTGGCTTCTTCCACCAGCATAGAGAGCCGTGCTGAGCCGGGGGAAGGAGCTAGGGTGACTACCAGCTTAAGCCAGTGGTCCTTGTTCTCTCCCAGGCAGCTAGATTGTGCTGGTCTCATCAGCATTGCAAACTGGCAGGCCAGAAACCAGGTCACTGAAGACCCTTACAGAAAAGTTGGGACACTAGAGTTGATAGAAGCTGGGAGCTGGGGTTCTCTTCCTGACCATATTACAGGATACCAGGGGTGTCCTGAATCTCCTTACCACTTTTGGTAAGTCTGTTTTCCTGTTCACCTGGTATAAAAGCCATTCAGTGACTGAATTGTTGCTGAATCTGTGAATTCATGGGGGAAAGAGGATTCAGGGTTTTCTAGTCGCCACCTTAAAGGTGTTACTTCTGAAGATGTCTCTTTTATTTCTACCTAGACAGATTGTATTTTTATTTTTATAGTTCCTTTTTGGTTAAAGAGAAATTAAGCAGAGAATTTTTTACAATTTTTGTTTTTATTATGAAATATTTTTCATATGCCAAAGAATATATATAATGTGCATATGACATAGGAGTAACAAAACAAGCAACTAATCATTCTTTTCATGTAACCTCCCCCAACTAATAATTCTTTTCATGTTGAACTGGTACTTTTGGTCTTTCTCAACTCTGTTCAAATTTGCCATAACAGAACCCTTGGCCACTCTTGCTGGTCAGTTCAAATTTTCAGGACCCTTTGTGTGGTGGCAAAGCCGCAAGCAACAGGAGGCAAAACAGCCTCTGCCTCTGAGAATAGAAGACATGTTCACCGGCACGTTTCTGCCCTTTGTTAAGATGGACAAGAAGCCATTCTGACTTGTGACCTGCCAATTTAGTGCTCCCCTGACATTCTCCCAGCCCAGGATGAGGGTCTGTAAACAGGCCCCATCAGGACCAGACACCTTGCCAGGTATACCTTCCTCCAAGACACCACTGGCCTGTGTGGGCTAAGCATTCCAAGAAACCACATAATCCTGCATCTGAGCCCAGATTCTGTGATGTTGAAACCCGCTTCTTTCCAGCCCGGAGAGGAGCCAGTCCTGTGAGTGTTTTCTCCTCCAGAGAAAAGAGAGATTTCAGCCTCAAACACACCCTCCATATGCTGCCATGGAATTTGAGATGTGTCACTGGTTGCTTCTTTTCTGCATCACACTTGCTTGAATAGAAGGGACTATTGGTGGGTGTAGGTAAGTATCTGATAGGTCAGGCGCATAGGCCCACTCTCGTATCCACCACACAACACAAGGCCTCCCTCTACTGCTCTTCCTGGTCTGTATTTGTGACTTTGTGTTTCATGGAATATGATACCAGAGAGCGCTGGGCCCCTGGAGGAGACTCTTTTGTCATAGCAAACACCATGTCTTCCTAGAAAAGAACCTGCCATATATCGGTTCTTTTTCCAGCCATCACCTCTGTCTCTGCCTTTCTACAGCCTCTTACTTTTCCAATAGTTTCTGTGGTCGAATTGCTTCTTTTGTCCACTGAGCCCAATTAGAGCAGGAGCTCCCTAAGAAACAGTAACCTCATGCTTTTTAAACCCTCAGCAGCACTGAGTAATGGACTTGCCCACCCCCAGTTCTCTGTTGGAAATCTAGTTTGGAGATGGTGGGGGTGAGATGGTAGAGAGAGGGAATAGGAAGAAAAAAGAGGACACTTCATCAGAATGCCAGGTTCTGGGAGGTAAGTAAGAGATACGACAATTAGATGTAGGCCTGCACGTGTCTCTGTGCATGTTGCGTGGGGATGAGGGTGGTAGTGGAGGGAATAAGGCTGAGATAAGGATTCAGTTGAGATCCAGGGATATGACTTCATCTTCACAGGAGGTGCTCCTTTTAACTAACTGGATAATGACTCAGACACTGACGAGGCTAGTGAACGACAGACAGCTTGCACAGGCAGGATAGGACTCCTGGCAGAAGGGACTGGTTTTGGTGAGTGGAAATCTCCTTCCTGAAGGAAAGTGAAGAAAACATAAACCATTGATAGATTCTCCTTTCTCCACCCACAGATCTTCTACTTCAAGATGCCCTGGCCTGACAGCACCATCCCTCGGCCCCCAGCACCTTGCTGTGCCTCTAAACCTGTCCCCAAGCCCTCCCTCTTGGAGCCTGTCTCCCAGGAGTTTGGCAACCTGACCCATCTTTTGTACTGGCCTTCAAGCCCAGGAGAAGAAAAGGACCTATTGTCCTCCACCAGCCCCCAGAACTCCACCTACCGCCTGAGGGGTCCTGCGCAGGCCAGCTATGCCCTGGGAAGCTACCTGGAGGCCATCCTTGTGGCCAGAGACCATAGGGGCAGACCCAAGACCCACGGTGGGGATCTGTTTCGGGCACAGCTGCTGGGTCCTGACTTGAAGGCAGGGGTCCCCGGGGATGTCCAGGATCTGGAGAACGGCACATACCTGCTGTCCTTCCCCCTTCTTTGGGCTGGGCAGGCCCAGGTGCAAGTGCGGCTGATCCACTCCAGCGAGGCAGTTGGGGTTCTGCGAAGAATCTGGAGAGAGAAAAGAGCCACTGTTGACTTTAGAGGGTATTTCCGGGGACCCACAGGCATTGAAGAGACTGTGATTTGCAATGTTGACCCTCTGTCCATTGGAACAAGAGGGCCTACCTGCCAGTACAGAAATACGGATTCGGGTGAAGTCTGGTTCTGTGCTCAGCCCTCTACACTGCCCTGCAACTCTTTAGTTGGGCACTCAAGTGGAAGTTACCTGAATGTAACTACTCGACATGATGAGGCCCTGCTGGCATGGTAAGGAAATGTAAGAGTAGGGAAGCTTGTACCAACAGGAAGCCACATCCTTCTTTCTAAATATTGTCCTTGGGACACAATGACCCTCCCCAGTTTACTAGTATACCGCTCCTTTATTTATACTCTCATTCAACAGCTGTTTGTTGCACGACAGACATTTCTAAACAGATACGTACCACAAGAAACTGGTCAGGCTATCCATTTAAGGAAGGTTACAATTGATCTGGGGTTTAAAGAAAAAAATAGGACTTCTCCAGAAAGATAAGAGATAAGATGTTGAAGGCAGAGCAAATGACCTTAGGGCAAAAGTGTCTTGAGTGCCTCATTTATTTATTTAAATTCCTGCCTGCACTTAGATTTTCATCTAAAAATAAATAAATACATAAAAATTCCTTCTTTTGTTAGATCTTCAATTATTTAAAAATCTATTTTTTAAAAACATTAAAAAATTTTTTTGTTCAGAATTTTTAGTGGTTCTCAGTGTAAGGGTTGGTGTGAATACTTGGTTCTGCCATATTATCAGAAAAATGAATCTCCATTCTATTTTATTTGTTCCCACTATATCTTTGATATGTGTTCCTTTGATTTATTTCAGGATTTATTTCTTTTTTATTTTATGCAATTATATTTATTAATATGAAAAGATACTCCTATCAGTGGTAACAACCAACAGAGACAGCATGCCTATTGAAATCGTAGATTTGTAGGCAAGCAGCCCTGTGTTAAGCATCCAGCAGCCTCGAGCAGAGTGGGGTGGAATCTGGTAAGGAGTAACGGTGATAGCGCCCAATGGGAACAGCCTCTATGCAAGCATATGTGGAATACCTCGTTATAGCCCCTTATTTCTTTTTTTTCTAATTTCATGATTCAGAACAATTCACAAATCTATCAATCTTCCTTATATGGGATAAAAATAGTTAAGGCTATAAATTTCCTACAGGGTACAGCTTTAGCCTATATTCTTCAAATTTTTATATATGGAAACTTCATTTTTATTCATTTTCACATGTTTTGTAATTTTCTCTTTAATTCATGAATTACTTAGGAAGTATGTTTAGTTTCTTTTTTTAATATATTTTATTGATTTTTTTTTTTACAGAGAGGAAGGGAGAGGGATAGAGAGTTAGAAACATCGATGAGAGAGAAACATTGATCAGCTGCCTCCTGCACACCCCCCATTGGGGATGTGCAGCAACCAAGGTACATGCCCTTGACCGGAATCAAACCTGGGACCCTTCAGTCCGTAGGCCGATGCTCTATCCACTGAGCCAAACCGGTTAAGGCTATATTTTCTTAAAAAAATAGTTTGTATTCTCGCCCAGCCAGTGTGGCTCAGTGATTGGGCATCGATCTATGAACCAGAAGGCTGCAGTTCAATTCCCGGTCAGGGCACATGCCTAGGTTGTGGGATGCAGGTGGTGGCCGATCAATGGTTCTCGCTCATCATTGACGTTACTATCTCTCTCTCCCTCTTCCTTCCTCTCTGAAATCAATACAAATATATTTTTAAAAATAAATAAAATAATTTGTATTCTCTATTTCTCCAGAATGGAGTTCTGAACCTATTTGATTTAAATTGTTGACATTTTTATTCCAAACATGTATATCTTCACTAATTTTTCTGAGCACTCAATCTATTCGCTTAGATATAAGTGTATCATACTGTGTTTGTAGATTTGACTATTTCTCTTTGTGATTCAGGCTGTTTTCAATCTATACTTTTCAAGGTTATGTTGTTAAGTATATTCAACTTTGTGATTGTCTTATGTCAATGGTAAATTACTCATGTTACTTTCTTGCTTTTAGTCTTAAGTTCTAATTTTGATACTATGAATATTATAACAACTCTCATTTGTTTAGTGTTTTCATGGTATATATTTTTTCTTCTCTTTATATTTTAACATTTTGTGTGAAATAATTGTAGGTAGGTCTCTTAACATGAAATGTGGCACAGTTTCATTTGTTTAGGCACAGTTAAATAAATCATAAAATAGACTAAATCCATGAAGATAACTAACTTTACCTAAACATAATAGGTATTCAAACCAATGGAGAATATGTTGAATAGTAAATAAATAGAAAAGAATATAATTCTATTTGAACTCATTAAAGACCTAAATGTAAAAAAAAAAAAAAAGGAAAACTTCAAAAAGAAAATATTGTTTTTATTTTGGGTCAGGAAAATATTATTTAAGATATAATAAAAGGCACAAATCATAAAAAATATTTATAAATTAGGTGTTATATAAATCAAAAATTTCTCCATTACAAAAAGTCCCATAAACATAGTTTAAGTCAAGATATAGACTGGAAGATTATATCTGTAACATACATAATTAATACAGAATTAGCACTTACAATAGAAAATAGTTGTTATATGTATCAATAACTCATTCATTTTCCTTGCTGCCTAGTATTCCATTGTATACGTTTGTTTAACCATTCTCCAATTGTAGGACATTTGGGTTATTTCCAGTTTTTTACTATTATGAGTAAAGTTTCCATGAATATTCATACATAGGTTTTTATTCATTTCTCTGGAATGGCTGCCTGTATGTGATTGCTGGGTTGTACAATTAGTGGACATTTAGTTTTATAAGACACTACCAAATCATTGTCCAGAGCGGCCTTACCATTTACATTCCCGTCAGCAATGTCTGAGAGGTCCAGTTTCTCTGCACCCTCCCCAACATTTAGTTTTAACATTATTTTTAATTTTATCTGTTGATCTATTCATTTCTAAAAAAAGATCTAATTCAAACCTGGCAAAACGTTAAGATCCTGTAGAGCTGGATGTTGGGTACACAAAAAGTAAATTTTAAAATGTGCATAGGAGGTAGGAAAATAAGGCAGATAACAAGGTCAGATGAGTCGTTCAAGAAGTTGTCCTATGAAGGAAAGGAACCTGACAGAGTTGTAGCTATAGGAAGAGGTCATGGAAGAGGCAGTTTATTCGGTGGAGCAGATGTGATTATGTTTATATTCTGAGAGAGAGAAAAGGGGGCACAATCTAAAAGATGCAGAAGGAGGTAGCGGTAGCAGATAGATGTGTCAGATCTCCTGAGTAGAGAGAGCAGGAAGTGAGGACGGGTGCAGAGACTGACATATTTCCTGATAAAGAAGTGAATGTTAAGAAAGCTCCTGTTGATTAGGAGGTGCTGCCCCATCCCTCTCTCCCGGGCCTGGGAAGTGAAGGAAGAAAGATGAGGTAAGAAAGATACCCCTCCCAATCTCAAATGTCCTACACTTGGGGAATGGTGGAAACTCACAAAAAGATTGCCCAATAGCATTTCCAGCCTCACTGGAACTGTCGTCCATCAGTTCATACACTCAAATATTTACTCTTATTTAATAGCTACTTATTTCATTATTGCCTCCTCAGCAACTTATATTCCTACTAGAGGCCCAGTGCATGAATTTCATGCACCGGGAAGTGGCGGGGGGGGGAGTCCTCCCAGCCTGGCCTGCACCCTCTCTAATCCAGGACCCCTTGGGGTATGTCGGACTGCCTCTGGAAATCCGGGACTGCTGGCTCCTAACTGCTTGCCTGTCTGCCTGCCTGCCTGCCTGATCACCCCTAACCCCTCTGCCTGCCTGCCTGATCGCCTTTAACCACCTCTGCCTGCCTGATTGTCCCTAACCGCCTCTGCCTTGCCCTGCACCTGGGACCCAAGATTCCCTCCACCAGCTAGTCACAGGCACCCAGGACCCAGGCCAGCTTCACCTGGGCCCGCTGCAGCCACAGGGGACCGTGGGCGCTTGGCTTCGCCTGACCCGCAGCTGCAGGTGCCCAGGACAGCAGGGCGGCGGCTTGTCCCTCTCCCGGGCCGCAGCCTGGCTGGTCCCCATTCCTCTCTCTCCAGTGATGAGTGTCTGAGGGTGTGAGGGTGTGATGACCATTTGCATATTAGCTCTTTATTATACAGGATTGTCAGTTTTTGTTTTGGTGAAATTTTTTTAAAACTTTAATCTGCTTTATTACAGTATAATTTATATACAATGAAATAGTCTTGTTCGGCCCTAGCCGGCATGGCTCAGTGGAGAGAGCGTCAGCCTGCGGACTGAAGGGTCCCAGGTTCAATTCCGGCCAAGGGCACATGCATGGGTTGCAGGCTCGATCCCCAGTAGGGGGCATGCAGGAGGCAGCTGATCAATGATTCTCTCTCATCATTGATGTTTCTCTCTCTCCCCCTCTCCCTTCCTCTCTGAAATCAATAAAGAAATATATTTAAAACAAACAAACAAAAAAGAAATAGTCTTGTTTGAAATGTGCAGGTCAATGAGATTTTTTGTTTTGTTCTGTTTTTAATCCTCAACCAAGGATTTTTTTCTATTGATTTTTAAAGAGAGTGGAAGAGAGGGGGAAAGACAGAGAGAAATATTGATGTGAGAGAAACACCTCGATTGATTACCTCCTGCATAAGCCCCGACCAGGACCCTGGGCCGGGGAGGAGCCTGCATCCTACACTCTATCCACTGAGTTTTAATAAATGTGTATACCCATTAACTGTCACCACAATCAAGAAATAGAACATTTCCACCACCTCTAAAGATTCCCTGTGTCCCTTTACAGTCAATTTTCCTCATCCACCTCCAGCCCCAGGCAAGCACTGATTTGCTTTCTGAAAGTAGGTATCAGTTTTGCCTTTTCTAGAATTGCATAAAAATGTAATCATACAGTTTGTACTCTTGTATCTGGCTTCTTTCACTCAGTAACATGCTTTTGAGATTCATCCATGTTGTTGCATATCAGTCATTTTCTCTTTTTTATTGATGAACGGTGTTCCATGGTACAGATATACTGCAGTTTATTTATCCATTCACCTCCTGAACATTTGGGTTGTTTCCACTTTTAGCAATTATGAATCAAACTGCTGTTAATATTGGGGCATAAGACTTTTGTAGACAAATATTTTTGTTTCTCTGTGGAATTTTTTTACTACTAGACTTTATGAATTATAACTGTTTTAGATTTACAAAGAAATAGAGCAGATAGTACAGAGATTCCCCTATCTGCTTTCCCCCATAATTTCTCCTATTATTAACGTTTTATATTAGTGTGTTATGTTTGTTGCAATTCATGAACCAATATCGATACATTATTATTAAGTCCATAGTCTATTTAGGTTTCTCTAGTTTTAACCCAGTGATTTTTCAATGGTGAGCCGCAATAATTTTTAAAACATACAATACCTGACTAGTCGGGGGCACTGACCTTTTTTCCCTTTGATTGTCAAACAAACAAACAAAAAATAACAGTCAACATAACAATAGCTGTCCGGCGTGAATGAATCAAAATTATACTTTTTTTTTTTGTCAGATCAGCAAAAAAAAAAAATAGCATTTTTTGGTGTGTCACAGAATTGTAGTCATTAATTTGTGTCTGTCATGAGATGAAAGAAGGTTAAACATTGCTATTTTATTTTATTTTTTAAATATATTTGTATTGATTTCAGAGAGGAAGGGAGGGGGAGGGAGGGAGAGAGATAGAAACATCATCAATGAAAGAGAATCATGGATCAGCCGCCTCCTGCACATCCCCTAGTGGGGATCGAGCCTGCGACCCAGGCATGTGCCCTTGACCGGACTCAAACCTGGGACCCTTCAATCCACAGGCCGACGCTCTATCCACTGAGCCAAACAGGCCAGGGAAAACATTGCTATTTTAATCTAATGTCCTTTTTCTGTTCCAGAATCCCATCCAGAATCCTGCATTACATTTAGTCATCAAGGTCCTTGGTTGGGACAGATTCTTATACTTTCCTTATTTTTGATGACTTCGACAGTTTTGAGGAGTATCGGTTAATTATATTGTAGTATTCCTCTTTATTGAAATTTGTCTGATGTTTTTCTTATGATTAGAGGTGGGTTATGGTTTTGAGGAAGAAGGTCACAGAGATCAGGTTACATTTTCATCACATTATATCAAGTGTACATGCTACCAATGTGATTTATGAGTGTTGATTTTAACCTGGCTGGGCAGTGTTTCTCCACCACAAAACTACTCTCCCACACCCCCTCCTTCCACACTGTGCCCTTTGGGCAACGCTAGGTACAGCCCACACATAAGTAGTGAGGGATTATGATCTCCACTGTCTGAGTTTTTTGTAACAAAAATTATTCTGCTCATGTTCCTTCCAGAATGTAGTGCTAGGAAGAGAGTTTCTTTCTCCTGGCATGTGTACCCTTCTTTATCAGAGAACTACATGATCCAGCTTGGATGTTCTTTTATCGCCTGGCCTGTTAGTAAACTGAGAGCTCATGGGTAGGTTGATTGCAGAAAGTCCAGGTTCCTGATAAGATTTTCTCTTTCTTCCATCACTTTTTTCTGATTCTTGATTGTAATTGCTTCATTATAAAAGTGCTCATTGTATTGTAGCTACCTCAAACTCTTTTAGGACTTAGGCAGAGTAGAAATTATAAGTCAACCATCATATATATCCCTATACTGGATTCCAGTGTTCACCTGCTCAGCCCCCTCAATGCTCACTCTTGGTGTTTCTCCAGGCAAGTGACAGACAAGGTGCTCCCTCGGGGCATTTCTCCAATCCAAATCAGAAGGTCAGCCCCAGGAAACAGCAGCCTGGGTGAGTGGGGCTGGCATTTGCTGGGGACCGGGCAGGTGTGGGGTGGGGAATAGACGTAGGAGGTTTTAGTCCTAGACTGGGAGTTGAGCCCCAGTCCTCCTGCCAGGGCAGGATGCATAATGGTTAGTAATCTGTGCTGTAAAGTCAGACTCCCTGGGTAAAAGTCTCTCTCTGCCCGTCACTATTCTTGGCCATGGGCAAACTGCTTAACAATTCAGGGCCTTTGTGAATAGTACTTCATGGACTTTTGCAAAAAAGTAAATGGAATGATGTATGTAAAGCACATAGAAGAGAGCCCAGAATTTTGCAATAATAAATGTTAGCTGTGTTCTGGTTTTTCCTTTTCTATAGCCCTCCCCTCACGACCCCCGTGCAGTCCTGGGCTCCCTGCCGCCAAGCCCTCTGGCTTCTACCACGGGCATGTGTGGCACTCGCTGTCCTGCGCCAGCCGCTCCTTTCCCACTGTTAACAGCATCCTGGGCTGCCTGGCTGGCCACGTCATCCACATGATAGGGGACTCCACGCTGCGGCAGTGGTGGGAGTATCTGCGTGACACCGTGCCCTGTGAGTGGCCCTGCGGGGACAGGGTAGGACTCCTGGTGAAGCTGTGGTTCTCCTATTACCTAAAACCCAAGTGACTTCTGTGGAATGTATGTTGTTTCCTCAGCCTCTCCCAAGTTAAATTAACACAATCTCCAATCTTCCATGTGCACCGTTTCTCTAAATAGTCAAGATGAATGGAGAACTGAAAATTGTCACAGGATGTGTGAATGACCTCCCATTTAGAAAAGAAAAACAAACACAACATCTCTATCAGTTATTTTAAATGAAATTATATCCAAGCAGCCAGTCCCTAATACGAAGTTACTACAAGTCTCGAAGATATCCGTGGAGTGGGAAGGTAGACCCGAAAAGCTAGCCTGAATGACAGCTGGACTGGGCCCACTATTCAGTGGTCATATTCTCTGTGAGCTCAATTGTAAAGTTAGCAGCAGACCAGTTGCGGCTCCTGCTTACCATGTTTTTTGAGGACAGTCCACCTAAGCATATTATCTCTGATCTCAAGTAGTTCAGATGCGTTCTTGTCTTCCTAGACGTTTAGACATTTTTAAAAAGTTTAGAAATTTGCCATATTGTCATCCTCAGTCACTAGAACGAATTTGAGGTTCTTTATTTTAAACATTGAGATGTAATTGACAAGTCATAAATAGAATATATTTAAAGTGTACAATTTAGTAAGTTATCACATATAGGCACACCTGGAAAACAACCTCCACAAAAAGATAATTAACATATCCACGTGGCAGAAAACTTTCCTGGTGGCCCTTGCTAATCCTTGCCTTCTACCCTTCCTCTTCCCCAGGCAACCACACATCTGCTTTCTGACTTTTCAGCTTAGTTTGCATTTGCTAGAACTTTATTTAAGGAGAGCCATACAATGTGTACCCTTTTTTGTGTGTGGCTCCTTTCATACAACATAATTAATTTTGAGATTGACCCACATTTCTGAGTGTGGCAATAGTTTGTTCCTTATTTAGTGCTATGAAGTATTCCATTATATGCATATACCATTATTTGTTTATCCATTCATCTGTTACTGGACGTTTGGGTTGTTTCCAATTTTTAGCTATTACAAGTAAAATTGGCTATGAATATTTGAGCACAACTCTTTTTTATTATTATTATTTCAGAGAGGGAGAGGGAGAGAGATAGAAATGCTCAACTGGCAGCTCCAACCTCAGTCAGTCTACCCTGGAGAAGAAGTGAAGTGTTGAATTCTTTATATCAAAGACCCAATTAGATATTTTATAAATGGAAATATTCTTTAAAAACCCTCAGTAGATGGAATAAACAGCAGAACGAATACCACAGTAGAACAAATTAGTAAGCTAAAAAATTACCCCAGAATTCACGTCCTCTCCCTCATCACTATAGTATTCTTTAGAATTTTCTTTCACCTGTTATTGTTAATAATTCTTTATATTCACTTTCCCTGTTCAAACGAAAGTATGATTTTTTTTCTTTCTCCTGGTTGGACCCTAACTGATACACCAGGAATTCCTAATAAATCCATTTTTATATTCCTCTTATTTTGCCATAATAAAAAAGCCCTAGAATTTCAGTGGCTTGACACAATACAAGTTTATTTTGAACGCACCTAAAGTCCATTGTTTGAGGGCAGCCTTCCACACTGCTATCCTCAAAGCTGGGGCTCTGGACCCAGGGTCCTTTCATCCTGTCTCCACTGTCCCTAGGGCCTCCCAGAAGGCACTGCTGGATCCTCTGCACCCAAGCCAGTGGTGAGGAGAGAGAGAAAAAGAGGAAGAGGGGAAGGGAGAGGGAAAGTGAGAATGGAGGATTACATAGGGTGTTTTATGTCCAGGCATGGAAGTATTTACTGCTCTAGCTAGCCTCCCCTTCCCATCTTTCCAAAGTATTTATTTTAGCCATATCAGTGAACGGTGTTTATGTTTTTATAATTATGTAAATATTTTTCTCTTCATAGTCAAACTAATATTATGATTTAGTTTCTTGTGTGGTAATTTGTTTTTCTGTCTCTTTCTCTCCTTTCCTGCCTTCCTTGTTTTTCATCAATAAATATTTATTGAGCACCTATGATCTCCAGTTCACTATTATGTTCCTAGAACAGTGTTCTAGGTTCTTGGAACATAATAGAAAACAAGAACAAAAATATCAAGATTCCTGTTTTGTTGTGCATAAACTGGTGGAAAGACTCAGACACTGTGACACAATAAATATACAGACGTTTCAGATATTAAAAGGCTTGTGAGAAAAAGTAATGTAAAGGTTAAAGATGGTGAAGAGGAGGAAGCGAGATTGAATGGTCAGGGAAATGCTTTTGAGGCAGTTTCATTTGAACTGAGTCCAGAATGATAAGGAGCCAGATATGTGATGATCTTGATACAACCCTCTGCCTCTTTTGAAACCATACCTGTGTCCCTGAACACACCTGGAGAAAAACTGTCCCGTCATGCTGTTCTCATTGATCAATGCATGGCCACGAATGTCTAGGAGGTACTAATGCTGCACAATAATCACAGTAGTTCTCAAAATGTGGCCCCAGACTGGCTGCATTGGCAGCACCTGGGAGCTTGTGAGAACTGGAGTCTCTGGCCCCATCCCAGACCTCCTGAACCAGAAATTCCGGGGAGGAGCTCAGTCTGTTTCAACCAGCCTCCGGGTGATTCTGCTGGGCTCTGACATCTGCGAGCCTCTGTCCTAGGACCACTGACCCACTCTCCTCAGTGAGATTTCAGTTTCTTCATCCTCACACTCAGCTGCTAACTTTGTATATTTTCTTGAACAAAACAAAGCAATCGGAAGTGAAATTCCAGACTCCCACCACATCTCCTCTCCTACCGGCATCGGTACTAGTATCCTCTGTTTTCCTACATGTTTTTGAAAGTGAATTCTCCATGCTCCTATCCTTCTACTTCAGTTCTAGATCTATTCAAGGACATCTTGCCTACCAATTCTCTCCATGCTCCTATCCTTCTACTTCAGTTCTAGCTATTCAAGGACATCTTGCCTACCAATTCCCCCTCCCTCCGACATCACCTTCCCCAAAAGCATTATTTCCATCACATTCCCATCAGCATATACATGTTACTTTTTACTTTAATATTCTACGTGTTTGAGTCGATTACAGGCATCTTGACATCCTACCGCCAAATATTCCAATGTCTTTTAAAAACAGAATCTTTTTAAACATTACCCAAATAAGATCATCACAATTAAAAAAATGAATAATACTTTCTGAAATCTAATATCCAGTTTATAATCAAATTTCCTCCGTTGTCCTTCAAATTCTATACAATCGTTTTTTCAAAGCCAAGATCCATTCCTGGATGTGGTTGTTTTGTCCCTTAATTTCTTTACATCTAGGCCAGTCCTTCTTTTCTTCACCTTCCTTTATGGAAAAGTCAGGGCCAGCTGCCCTGTCAAATGTTCCACCTTCTGGATATTTTTGATTGCTTCATTATGGTGACATTTAGTTTGTCCTCTATTTCTTGCATTTCCTATAAACTAGAATTGAAAGTTCAAGGCTGTATAGATTGAACTTAAGCATGTACATAAATGATGTAAATTCTGTTTGCATAGTATCTGACTGTTTATCATTAGTGATGAGAAGAATGACCACTGGATAAGGGGATTAAGGCTGATTCCTCCAGAGTGCAGTGTTTTCCCCTTGGGACCAGAAAGGAATCTAGTGGTGTTATTTTGGCATTGTATGAATTCCAGAAATTCCCATTAATCATTCTCATTATGATTTTAACACAACAAACAATTATTGCCTTTTACTATTCATCGTATAAGTGTTACCAAAGGGTGGTTTTCTAACTCTTATTGTTCTTTGTATACATATTGGCTGGTCTTTTATTTATTTATTTTAAAATATATATTATTGATTTTTTACAGAGAGGAAGGGAGAGGGATAAAGAGTTAGAAACATCGATGAGAGAAACATCGATCAGCTGCCTCCTGCACTCCCCTTACTGGGGATGTGCCCACAACCAAGGCACACGCCCTTGACCAGAATCAAACCTGGGACCCTTCAAGTCTGCAGACCGACGCTCCATTCACTGAGCCAAAATGGTTAGGGATGGTCTTTTATTTAAAAAAAAAAATGCTTTATCACATTAACTGGAGCTAATAGGCTAGTTTGAAAGACAGCTTCTCCCAAAAAGGCAAGAAAAAAATTCAACTATCTTTAATTACCAATTTACAAAGAAGAGATCTGGTTTAAAATGGTGACAAATGACTACTTTTTGAGTATCATTATAGATACATGGATTTTTATAAATTTGGTTTGTAATTGGCCAATATTTTACTATAAAATCATTCTTTTCTCTAAATACTTTCTTTCATCATTTTCTCTAATATTCAAATTTTCACAATCTCTACCAAGGTGGCTCCTATGTCCTTTTTGATATACCTCCAACATTAGAAAATTTCCTTGATTTCTGGCATGAGGTATTCCAACTTCGCTATGTACTATTCTGCCCAGACTTGGAATTTGTTGATTCTTTAAGGATTCATGGTAAATGAAAAATTAATATCTGGGTACTGTAAGTATTCATTATTATTGGGGTAACATTGTTTCTAGGCCATTTAACATTCAGAAGAAGATGTAGATATATGATTGATAGATGATAGATAGCTACACTAAAAATCATGAATTCATATTGATATTTCAAATTTATTATTTTTTAATATATTTTATTGATTTTAGAAAGGAAAGAAGAGGAAGAGAGAGAGATAGAAACATCAATGATGAGAGGAATAATTGATTGGCTGCCCCCTACATGTTCTCTACTAGGAATTGAACCTGCAACCCAGGCATGTGTCCTGACTAGAATCGAACAATGACCTCCTGGTTCATAGGTCGACGCTCAACCACTGACCCACACTGGCTGGGCTATGCCTTTGGTTTTTATAGTTTAGTCAACTTATTAGGTACTTCTAAACAATATATATGAATTTTGCCTGATTTTTAACTTCATATAAAAGAAAAGGTATGCTGTAAATCCTGTTATCACTGG